GTATTTAGCCAAATAAGTTGAAAACTTATGTCCACACAAAAACTAGCATATGAATGTTTATAGCAGCTTTATTCATAATTGCCATAACTTCAAAGTGACCAAAATATTAATCAGTAGGTAAATAGATAAACTGTGATACATGCGTTTCTTAGGGATGCTGTAACAAAGTATCACAAATTGGGTGCCTTAAACAACAGAAATTAATTGTAACACAATTCTGGAGGCTAAAAGTCTGAAATCAAGGTATTGGCAGGGTTGGTTCTTCTGAAGGATAATTTGTTCCTTGTCTCTTTCCTAACATCTGATGGTTTGCTAGCAATCTTCTGGCATTCTTTGGTTCATGGCATTGGCTCATGGCATAATGACTACAATCTTCATGACTACAATCTTCACATGACATTCTCCTTGTGCCTCTGTCTCTGCATTCAAATCCTTCCCAACACCTTTTTTTTTTTTTTTTTTTTTGTATAAAGACAAGAGTCATATTGGATTAGGGTCCACCCCAATGACATCACTTCAACTTGATCATCTGTAAAAACTATATTTCCAAATAAGGTAACATTCACAGATGATTTGGACTTTGCCACTTTAGGTGGGGGGTGCAGAATTCAACCCCTAACATAGTGGAATATTATTCGTTAACAAAAATTAAGGCAATATCAAGCCACTAAAAAGATGTGGAAGAAACTTCAATGTCTGTTGCTGAATGAAAGGGGGCAGTCTGACAGAGCTACCTATTGTATGATTCCACCTACACAACATTCTTGAGCAGGTAAAATTAAGGAAAGAGTGAAAAGATCAGTGATTGCTAAGGATTCAGAGGGAGACAAGGAAAGATGAACAGATGGAGCACTGGGAATATTAGTGCTGTGAAACTATTCTGTATGATGTTGTAATGATTAATACGTGTTGTTATACATTTGTCAAAACCTGTAGACTCTACACTACAAAGAGTGAACCCTAATGTAAACCATGAAGTTTAGTTCATAATATTATATCAACATTGGGTCTTCAATTGTAACAATGTACTACATAAATGCAAGATGTTAATAATAGAAAAAAACCTGTGTGCTGGGGCAGTAAGGGGATATATAGGATCTCTCTGTTCTTTCTGTTCAAATTTTCTGCAAACCTAAAACTACTCTAAAAAATAAAATCTATTAATTTATTTCACAACAACAATAAAAAGTTCCAGGTTCTAAGTAGCTCCATTAGCTTCAATGGTCAAAAGGAAGGGCCTCTCTGAAGAGACAACCTTTACATCTGACCTGAAGGAGAAGAAGATGTTTCCCTTGTGACGTGCAGATAGGAGGATTTCTAGTAAAAAGAAGAGCTGGAAAAGAGACTCTGCAGTGGAAAGCTGCATGTGCCTGAGGAACACTGTGAGGAACAGAGGGAGTTCCCAGGGCAAGGCAGAAGAAGGAGGCAGGCAGGGACCTGATCAAACAGGACTTTTAAAACAGAGCATAGTTTGGATTTTAGTGTGATATGAAATCATTAGATGGCTAAATAGGGATGTACTAGGATATAATATATTAAAATAAATATCACTCTGGCCTTTGGATATAAAACATAAATTGTGTTTGGAGGCAACACTGGAGGCAGGAAGATTGGTTAGGAAGACATTACAATGGCCCAAGCAGGAGATAATACTGGTTTGCACTAAGGTGGAGTCAGGGGATATAGAGGTGTGGGTATACTTAAGATATGTTGATAAAGGTAATGGAAGAGAGGACTTCTCACTGTGTCAATCATCTATGACACAACTACAAATCTGGAAATACATGGAAATATCAACTTGGTTACAGGCTGAAGTCCATGCCCTTTGCCATTCACATCCTCTTCCGTGGAATGAGGACTCATCAGATAAAATATTGTTTTAAATAAATGGACTTTGTGAAATTGCACATCATAGTTGCTTTTCATAATGTTTGCTGTAATAGAATTTTACTTATATCTAAAACCAATTTAGTATGGACATATTTCCAATTTTCTTTCACTTTTCACTGAAAATTTTTAACTACTGGAGTTGGAAAGAAAGTATCTCTTTTAGTAGAGAGAAAAGTTAATACAACTGAACAACTTGATATCTTTAGCAACTATGTAAATAAATATACACATCTTTCTTTTATTTACATTTGGTGAGCCACATCTAAAATATATGCTAGCAAAATGGGGAGCTGTGAAATACAATGACAGCACACTGATAGATATCAGTTACAATCTGGCAAGGAAAAGAAGGGAGTTGCTTTCATTTTCTGTTTGTTTTTAGAATTATTCTTAAAACTAGATAAATACGACAAATGTGCCAATTTTTTGCCTCAATATTTTAAGATGAATGGCAAAAAATTAGAAAGAAAAGGACAACCTAATGTTTAAAATATGGCAAATGAACAAATTCTGTATTATCCATTTCTAAAGGAAAAATTCTTCAAAATTTAAAAATTTTTAAGAAATTTAGCAAAATTGCAGTGGTCTCTGAAACATTACTATAAAAAGTAGATTATTTTGTTTCCTCTGGGAAAAACTCAAATAGATGCAGGATAATAGTCTAATGAACAAGAATGTCAGGATGGCTAACAAATACTTTTAATAAGATATAAAACAGAATAGTGCGTTTGAATTTTATATTTTGATTACTCTTACCCATCCTTTCATTTTATAAAGTTATGGCTGATTCATAAAAATAAGCGGTATTAGGAAATATGTTTGCTCAGTGAAGAAGACATAGCACCCTTGGGCTATTATTTACAGAAGTGACATCATTCATCTTTCTAATCCATTCTAAGTCACTTATGCCTTGGCCCTCAATGCTGTTTGCTACCGACATTTATTTATCCAGAGTAAAACAGTAGCTATCAACTGAGCCACACTATCTTCTTTAAAAATTCCACTTTAGGCCGGGCGCAGTGGCTCAAGCCTGTAATCCCAGCACTTTGGGAGGCCGAGACGGGCGGATCACGAGGTCAGGAGATCAAGACCATCCTGGCTAACCCAGTGAAACCCCATCTCTACTAAAAAATACAAAAAAATAAAACTAGCCAGGCGAGGTGGTGGGCACCTGTAGTCCCAGCAACTCGGAAGGTTGAGGCAGGAGAATGGCGTGAACCCGGGAAGCAGAGCTTGCAGTGAGCTGAGATCCGGCCACTGCACTCCAGCCTGGGCGACAGAGTGAGACTCCGTCTCAAAAAAAAAAAAAAAAAAAAAAAAAA